TGGGATTTTGGCTCTTAAAGTCCCATTTGCCTAAAAATTCTTCGATGGCTTCAGAGTTTCAATTTTTTTAAATCCAGTGTTGTTCTCAATGAGTGTTGCTCTGTTATAGAAGTGTCTGGTTATTTTTTCTTTTCTGCTGGACATTTAATTTGAAAAATGGTAGAACTTGAGGCTTAAGTGGCTTTCTTCCCCCCTTCATAGAGTATTTGTTTGTTTTTTGCCAAGCACATAGGTGATTACTTTTATCCAATCAGGAATTGAAATTATTTCAGGCTGTGCTGAATTCTGTGTGTGTGTATGTCAGGGGCGTGGAGGGGGGGCTTAGCTTCAAATCACATTTACTTCTCTGGTGGAACTTTTTGGGGTCCTGAAACAAAGCATGGGAGTTTTCCAAGACCTTCACCATGACTTAGCAGGCACCAGTTAGTATCTAATTTTTGTCCTCCTAGCCTCCCAGGGGTAGTAAAAAGCACTGCTTGTCCCCTTAAATGGTTCTTCTAGAATTAGCCAATACTTTCAGTAAGAAGTAGTCCCACTGTTGGGCTTTCTAGGTTTTCATATTTAAAAAAAAAAAAAGTGTTCAGATTATCTAGTTGTCCATGGAAATTTCTGATGTTAATTACCTAGTCCGCCATTCCTGGAAGTTGAACGCCCCCTCTGCCTTACTTCTTACACTAGAAAATAAGTTCCTTAGATGCAATATTTTGAAGAAAACCACGATGGTGAATAGGGTACTTAACATTGCACACAGAAGTGTGGCAGAGAGGGAAGGCAAAACTAAATCCAGATTCATGGTAACTGTCTATTTTATGAGGACAAATAGCTGCCTCTCCAAGAGAAAAGAGACTTGATATAATAAATCTGCCACTAAGCAACTATTTGTTCACCCTAGGGCATGCTATCAGGGCTGGTCACTCCTGCTGGCAGTGGCAGTGATCAGGGTAGCCTTGATGAAAAGAGGGCCATATTGTTGAAGTCCATGTGTAGCCCCGATCCTTCCAGTACAGCCACTTTGTCTATAAGCTGACTGAACAAGGACTGGAATATCAAAAAGAGGTCTACTGCCATCCTTAGAATCATCCAGCCTCTCCTTCACCATGGGACCTTCGTTTGGTATTTATGTAGGAAACAACTATTGTTACAAGCTGAGCCCATTTTGAGAAATCCAACCACACATTTAGCTCCCAATTTTTTTCATTCATTCTCCAAGCTCATTAAGTCCATGTCTGCCACCACCTGGCCAACCACATGCCATCTGACCTGTACCTTTGGATATCTTACCTTCTGTGCAGACAACAAGAAACACTGTTCTGATATATTCTCACCGTAATACTCTCACGTCCTTTCCACAACCATTGCTGAGTGGGGTTGTAGAGCCATAGTCGACTTCTAGCTAGCACGAGCATACTGTGTAGTACTGCTTGTATAACCAGACTAATTTTTTTCTTAAGTGAACTGAGAAATAAAATACTCTTTCCTAGTATAGGTATAGCTCATGGGTTTGCTTGCTTGCTTGTTTGTTTTCTCCTTCTTTCAAATATATCCTGCCTCATTAAATTCAATTTAGTGGAGGTAGGTAAATGAATATTGAAACAAGATTCTACACTAGAGTGGAATTAGAACAGTAGAGGAAGTGGTGACATGTTATTCCAGAGGCTTACATTTCAAGAGATTTGTAGAAGAAAATGTTAGTAAAAAATATAAAGCACAGGGAACAAGTCAGTAGTAGAAGCATCTTGGCTAAATAAAGACAGTAAAAGTTTTAAGATAAATACACTACAGGCCTTCATTAGGTAGCAGTGGACCTGGGATACAAACGTTAAATATACTTGTAGCTTCTACAAAAGGAAGCAAGTAAAGCAAAAAGTGAAAATGTGTAGTGTTGAAGTTAGGTCTCTCCTACTTTATGTTCTGACGAGAGAGACTACGAAAGAAAATAAGAACAAAATAAATGTCTAACGCTGGCTCAGAAAATTTTTCATGCTATTCATTACTTCAGATTAAAAAATGGTATGTCATAATTTACTTTTCAAAAAATTTTTATGCACATACACTTTAAAGAACCAAATTAGTCAAGTTTACAACATTCCTCTGTTATCTCCATGGAGATGTACATTAGAGAATCAGGGAGTTTCACAGACATCCCTGGGATGGAAGAGGAGCTACACAGTACCTCCTATGCTGCCACTCATTTCTTGCATTGGATTCATATTCTATGTGGTAAAGCAAATCTTCATTCACTATCATGTATTAGGTATTATACTAACCTTCCACAGTGCAGTGGTCCAGTGGGGAGACAAGATATATGAAAAAATCATCGCAGTACAATGTGATGAGGATTATGTTAGAGCACTTAACAAGTGCGAACCAGGTGTGATAAGGGTCAAGACTACTCAGAAAAAAATTTGAGATCATCAATAGAACCTTAAAAAGTCACAAAAGACATCAATAATCTGTATTTATAACACTGATTTACAATCTTTGAATAGGAGGAAATGGCACTGAAACCATCAGTGTCAACATGGCTCAGATAAGACTGCAGCCCACTTATGTCAACAGGATTTAGCTGTTTATTCCAGGAAAACTTTGGCCAGGAAAGATAAGATTGTAAACAAAACAGAACAATGCGCAAAACAAAAAGAAGCAATCTCTAACTTTTTGTGTGCATAAGGAAATTCCTATAGAATGGAGACAATAATCTGCTTACCTGGGCAAACAGCCAGCTAATCAAATAACAGTCTACTTAGCAAGACTCTTCAGGCCCTTGCTTCCTGGCTCCACCAACCCCAAACCATTTACATCAACTTCACCAACTCCAGGCAGTTCCGTCTTCACAGACATGCCTTAAACCATTTGAGCACAGACCCCAAAGCTCTACAAATACCCAATTTTCTGGTTCTGAGACACAGCTAAGCATATCAAAGTGGTGCACTCACTTACTGCAGTTTTCGGACTTAGTTTTGCTCTCTTAACAGGCTATCTGATGATATTTGGGAGATTTCAATAAGAACAGTTGTTTTTTTAAGGATTCCTCACTTAATTGGCGTGTACTATACAGTATACACACACACACACACACACACACATACACACACACATCTATGTTAAATGTTCCACATACTTTGAAAACTGAAATCATATTCTCTATGTTCTATATTATGCTGTTTTCACGGAACATTATATAATCTTTTTGAATAATCACATACAGATCTGTGTTGTTTTTAACGGCTACATTATATTCCACTAAATGCATGTACCATACTTTATCTAGTCCTCTATTAATGGTCATTTAAATTCTATACTTCTTTTTTGCTACTACAAGCAGTGCTGCAATGAATACCTTTACACATTTGTGCTAACGTTTCTGTAGAATAGAGAGAGTAGAATAAGCACAGAAGGGCAGAGATGTTAGGTCAGAGGGTGTGTGCACTTTAAAGTGTGATAGATTGTGCTGAATTTCTCACCAACTTAGTTGTACCAGTTTACAGTCCTGGCAACGGCCTCAGAAATTAATGATTTTCCCACACCTATACCAATGCTAGTATCAATCTTTTTCATCTTTATCTATCTGACAAGGTGAAAAATAAATAAAATCTTAAATTGCATTTTACCATGTTTTTAATATTAGAATAACCAGCATTCAGTTTACCACTGAAACACAATTATCTAAATTTCTGTAAAACATAATTTATTTTTGGTCAACATTTATTTTTACCTTAAAACAACTTATATGATAAATGGGATGAATGAATTTCAAATATTTGTCCATTATGTAGTATTTACTTAGTATCCTCTTTTACCAAATGAGGTCACAGGCCCGTGTTCAAGCCCCGGCTTCCCACCCAACAGTTAAGTGAGGTTGGGCAAGTAACCTGCCCGACTGAGAGCTTCACTTTCCTCTTTTGTAAAACGGGGATTATTCTCATTTCACAGGATTGTTTTGAAGATGAAATGAGATTATAATTTTGATTACAAATATTAGGTATTATTATCACCACAATAACAATGCAAGGGAAATTACCAAAGGACTAGAATTGTTTGTAAAAGTCTTTAATAATTATGCTGGTATCACCAAAGTCAGATTCTATTAGATGAATCAACTGTTTATTGGGATGACTAAGGTCACTAGAAGAGTGAATATCCTGGGCCTTCCACACTGCTTACAAAATCACTGCTCTACTTCTGTACAGATACTCCTCTAACAGTAGTTCAGAAAATATTTCCTGAATTACTGGTTCCTTAGATGAAATGGAATTATCCACATTTACAATCGACTACACACCAGGATATTTATTTTAAGTTTCTAAGAGGGTCTTATTTCTAAGCACACACAGTAATGCCATGGAGATTTCCTAGAGCCAATAAATGAAATGCCAAAATTTTACTGTAATGTAATAATACATTACAGACCTTATCCCTGATCTTTCCCAAAACTAACATCAATCTAACTCATTCATTCATAGAATGTCTCAATACCCACCATGAACACAAGTCTATGCTAGGTACTAAGGGCATATACTCTGCACTCAAGAGGTCGGCTCCTATTGAAGATAAAAGGGCAAAGCATTATCTAAATTTGCCTGTGCTTCTGGTATGACAAATACTCAGCCAATGGTGCATGATCAACGGCGCTCACCTTTCTTTGGATGGACACTAACAGACCTGTTATACTTCTCATCCCTCAGCCATGTAAAACATAAAGCCAGGAAGGACATGTTATTGTCCTATGACTGACTCCGAAAAGCTCTCAATGGCTCAACTCACCTAAGTCTTCCTCCTTTATTTTATTCCTCCACATCACAACTTTTGCAAAATTTTATGACGAGTTTTTAATGAGTAAAATGATCTGGAAAAAAATTTTTTTCAGTTTTTATTTCAATGAAACAAGAGGCAACAATGCTGTATAAAGTATTGCATGGAGAACATTTACACAAATATACAAAACTGCAAAAAACTAAACTCCAGTTTATTTCCATAGCCTCAAAAAGGTTGAGAGCACATAAAAATATCCAAAGTCATAGTTTATTCTTTAGGAATGTAAACTCTAGGAACACAATTAGAACAGATATATTTACTGTGAAAAGATTAGTATCACTACATGATTAGAAGTAAAGGTAAGAGGTATACAATAAACTCCACTTAAGCGAAAGCAACAGTATATGAAATAGGATCTTGAGTTTACTACTAGAAACTTCATATCAAGACGCAGATAGGTACTCTAGAACTCTACTATACTAAACACAAAAACATCTTCCAAAATGTTTACTGCTCGTCTCTAGATATGCACAAGTTACAAAGCACAGAAGACAACATATTTATGTTATCTAATGGAGAATCTAACAATATTAAACATAAATGAAAATAACTCAAAGTAGTAAGTATAATTTTATTAAGCAACAAATCTATAAGTATAAATTCATGCTAATTAAAGAACCCAATGGTTTTTATTTTTCACCCAAAGATTGGGAAGACATTATTAAACATTCATTTCTATCTACAATGCTTAGTTTAAGTACCCACAAATTATTCCTTTTTTAAATGGCTCTTTAAAAAATATTTTTTCAGTTACATTATTTAACATATTTCCTTGATGTACTTCACTTCAATAAAGATAGATTTATTGTGCCTATAGACTCAAATGTTAAACAGCCTGTTTTAAATATTTGTTTAAAATTATGTCTCAGAGTACAATTTATTTTCTATAATTTAAAATTAAAGGCTTTAACACTTTAATTTTATTCTTCCAAAACAGGCAAAATCCCTTAAAACTGGGATCATTTTTTATCTATTTTGGTTAAAAAAATATATTTCCCTTTAATTCAACTTTTTGTTTTTAAATGAGTAATGTTTGCTAAGCAGTTGCATCATAATTGAAAAGGGCAATAAAATATTGCATTTTCAAGATGAACTTTGTCATCATTTAAGGACTGAGCATTTCTATGCGGCAAATCAGTCTACAGAGCTGCCTTACAAGTTCACTAGTGGTGCACAAAGGGTTCCAGGGTGGCACTTGCCCTGGGTCCTCTGGGGGAAAACCCACTTTGTTTCTCTCCCCACTAGGATTCCTAAAGACAAACGCTGGGACACAGGTTCACTGGAATACTCCAGGTATTCGGGTAAAGAGTGAGAGGTGGGGTAATTTCAAGACTCTCTAGAGGTTTAAATTGTGGAAGAGCTACTGCTCAGATCCTCTTAGTAATAGGGTGCAAGGCCCCAATTTGTGCAGAATGCTTCTCATGATGAAAATGTATTATTCTGGATATATAGGAGGTATGTGACCAAATGGTCACATCAGCATCTTCATGAGAAAATGACCCACCAAAGCCATTCCAACTTTCAAACTTGGAAAGGTGAGTGGAAAGAGAACAGTAGAGATAATTACAATTGTTACTATAGTTAGCATTATCCAATATTTATAATAGCTATAAAAAATTTCAAATGTATAATCCTCATTTGAAATAGTATCAAAGGTACTGTAAAAGAATTTTACTGTTACTATCACTCCACATTCCAGAAAATTAACTGATGGAGATTACTTGGAGCAAAAATTCAGAACCACTCCACTGAGTAAGCCTTCAGAGTTTCTAAACGAATATACAAATGCAGATTTGCTGCATTGTATAAAAGCATTGTACCCATTTCATACTTAAAATTGTAGACATCTACAGCTCTGATTCCATTTATGGTTAACAAGAAAAATACAAAATGTTATATTTGTACTGTAAAAATAAGTGAGAATCATTAAAAATTTAGAGAACTTAAGAAGTCAAGTGTTATTAACACTATTAAAAATTAACTTGCTGTTAAAAACAATGATAATTATAATGATCTGGTATCTAACATATTTGATCTAGGGGTGTGAGACCACTGAGAATTTTAATTATTAGATAAGTGACTTGCTTTGATACTCTCTTCTCAAACTTTAATGTACATAAAAATCACCTGAGGATCTTGTTAAAATGCAAATTATGATCCAGTAAATCTGGGGTGACTCTGAAATTCTGCATTTTTAACAAGATGCCAGGTGATGCCAAAGTTACTTACCAGTTCTCAGACCATGAGTGGCAACGATCTAGAACAATACCAAAATGAGTTTCCACTAGAGCAGTTGAACATTAAAATATGATCGCTCATTTGTGCCAGCTAATGTTTCCTCAAACTTATTTTATAATGTTTCCTAAGCACCTTAGCTTGCTTATAACAAACATCAATCTTTTAAATTAGTTCCTGAAACTATTAATACTGTTAGTAGCTATGCCTAGGGGAAATTCTTTGTTAAAGAATTACACAAAAACAGGAAATTCACATTGACATTTTACAAACATTTTAAATTGTACACAGGAGTCTTATTCAATTAATACTATATCAACTTTCACTGTCTGGTTGCCTGGCTTTTTTTTGTTATTATAATTTATGCCAATAGGTCTTATTTATATTACTACAAAAATAAAATTTACTTGTATTGAAAAACATATGCTATTCTGGGTTAATGAATGAAAATAAGTTCATGCCTGTTGAATAATTCGATTTAAAATGGTAGCCAAAGCAGTTATGGTCAGAACTGCGTTCATACTGTAAATGTGGTAGCATTCTTCAACACACACACATTTGTCACATATTTGAGCTCTGCAGAGGCAGGTATATGAAGAAAATTAGCATTTTCTCTGTGTGGCCACAGCTAGAGACCATGAATAAGGACACCACTGTGTACTCACAATGGAAGAGACCAAGTAGACGACTCCTTCAGCCTTCTTTCCTGGTCTGCTTACTCGCATCCTCAGCCCTGTTTTCTCTCTCTTCCTCTGAATTATTACTTTAAGTGTTCTTGATTTACAGGGGACCTCAACCATAGCTGAAATGACCACCACTAGCAAACACCAAACTTTTATGCCCATCTAGAGGTCACATAGTTCTCTATAGCGACATGCAAGTTTGTTTAGCTTCTGACATATTGCCTTGTTTATTTTTATTTTTTGATTGGGGGTAACTACATTGATTATTCTTTCTGTCACAACAAGAACATTTAAAATAGTCCTGTTCACAAAATAAGAAACACATTTATTTTTATGTTTTATAATTTTAAATTTAAGAACACTAACATAAATAACCCTTTATTAGTCAATATGTAAATGTCCTTTGTCCATATTTTACTATCTTTATTTTTTATGAAGTTTTATAGATGAAAAATTTACCTAATTTCCTTCATTTGCAGGCAAACAATATTGTTGACCCTGGCATCTTGAGAGCTGTGTTGCAAGATTTACAATTTCCAGGAAGTCTTCAACAATGTGCGCTCTGAATTATAGGAATCCAAACTAACTAGGGTTCCTGAAGTCAAGCGGCAGATAAGTCAGTTTTATGGTACATTACATCTTAGAAACTAAAAGGGATTTTCACCTGCTAAATCCAGATCCAATGCTTCAAGACAACATTTTACTAGCAACTTGATTTGTGATAAAAAAAATGTTCCAAAGATAGCAACAGAAATCCCTCTGCCCATCCCCTGAAATCACGGAATAGCTAGGTACTTTGAGTACCAGGAATTTTCCAGCGCTTCATATAAACTGTTTCATTAATCTTAAAGATGGTCTGGTTACAAACATTCATATCAGGCACTTTTCATAGACATCATTTTTGGTTTTGTACATGCCTGTTTTTCCAACTGGCTTGCTGAACAGCCAGCTGTAGAATTCCTGGGGTTGCACCTCTAACTCATCCTTTGAAAAACAGTTCCTACACATGGAGATTTCCTTTGACTCTGAAGGCCAAACATACAGCTACCAAAATAGGAGTTATCGACGGGAAAAAACTCACAACCTCACATGAGATGTAACCAATCTGACCAGACAACCTGCCAAAATGTATTGTCACACTGACAATCTTAGGGCAACAGAAGCAAAGAAAAAAGAAAAAAAAAAAAAAAGAAAGACTCAAGTCAAGGGGAAAAAACACAACCAAGTAATAACAAAACCATGATCTCAGCTTCCTGCAACTGACACATTTTCCCTTCATCAAGTCCAGGCCGCCTTCAGAATTTAAGACATTGGGGCTCTGGTCAGGAACAGGGATGAAAGACCCTGGCACTTTAATAAAGAAGCAGAGTCGTATTTCCAGATTCACTGGCCATGTGAGAAAACTCTTAGAAATTAGTCTGTGGACAGAGTAATGCTAATACTAGGAGGTCTCTGCTGACCTGATTGATGCTTCACTGGAAGTTCAGTCCTTTCAGAGACGTAAATAAGCTTTTCTTCTTGGAGACTACAAGCGGAAAACCTATTGGCATCGGTCCCAGCCCCACAGCCCACAGTAGACGATGGGTTATGTGGGACTGTGACACCACTGACTTGTTCAAAGGATTTACTAAACACAGTTGCAGCAGTCTTAGCCAAACCATGGCCACTAGGTTTCGGCAGGGACTGGCTGGTTGTTAACGTAAGTCTCTTCAAGGAGAGAAGCTCGAGATTCTCACTTTGGGCTCTAGGAGTTTGTTTTCGAGCAAAGTGATCTTTGCAAATATCCCCTGTAGTTTCTTTTTCTTTTCCTCCAGTTTTGCTTCCTCCTGACCGTCTCTGAGTCTTTCCCACACTTGTCTTGTTACTAGAATTGTGACTGCTATTTGATAAACCTGACTGGCTGGTACTAGATGCAGCCCTGGAATAAAATCCCTCGTCAACTTCAGATATGTCCATCAGTTCTTCTGGACCTGTTAATTCTGTATTTCCTAAACAAAGAAATAACAAAGATTAATCAACATTAAGTATCTTCAGTAATTCTTTTTTCATGATTAATACCAAATCAATTACATTTCAAATAAATTAAACTTGAGCATAATTAGGGAAAGCAACAGATTATAGACCAAAATCAAAGGATAAATCAAAAACATTCTATAAAATGTCAAAATAGTTTACTGTAATTAAATAACAGTAATTTAGAGTGTAAAAGGCATGCCATAAACCACACTCTATTGTGTTTTTAGAAAGAGTTCTCTTATTATTCATGCAAAAGATCAGAGACACATAGGAAAAATACCACACAGTAAAACTAGGGACAAGCTCTCCTCCAGTAACAAAGCAATAGAAAATCAAAGCTCTTACCAAGGAACTTTTTAAAAAATAGTATTAAAATATTTTAAAGATTTTTATAAAGCTTATATTCTAGATTACTTTACAAAGATAAAAAATAAGACTGTGTCACAGCTCAAACTTGTTAAAATTCTATGTACATTTCTTCATATCAAAGATGACAAAAATACAAAGATAAAAAAATAATTTTTGATCTCAAGACATTAGCAGAAAGTTATTTTGGAAGCAATTTTCTGTCCGTTTTCAAAACTTACTCAGAGACAATATAGGTATGACCATTCCAAAGAGCAGTAAGAGTCATTCAGAGATTATGGTGCATAATTCATGCATTTTGATTATTAGATGACATGCAGAATTTCTGTGACTGTGCTACTGTTGCTTAAAACATGCAGTGGTCCTTTGCCGCGAGATACCTTGGAGTGCAGCTATACAGTGCTGTGCTAAAACTGCACTCTGCCAGGGGAGTTTATTCCGTCCTCCATCATTTTTCTTACAGATTTTTGTCTCCTGATCTCTGGCAAGCCTTTGCTGTCAGTCCTAGGATCTGTGGCTGTTTCCTGCACACCCTGCATATGCTGAGCATCAATCTCGCCTAGTGCTCTGCCTTTTTCCCCATTCCCGGTTCTCTCTCCGGCCACATTTGTGACACTAATCTCAGGAATGACAAGGATGCCCAATTCAGTAGTATCATTATTGTTGTCAGGTTGCTCTAGAATTGAAGATGATAAGACAAAATGATGGCTGAAAACAAAACAAAATAAAAATGCAAAACAAGAACAACAAAAGATTCCAAACAAAAATTGGATGACTGAATGTTATGATTAAGTCAAATATTTACATGGTAGGAAATTTTAACACTTACGACAGCACTGGAGACAACAGGGCCATGTTCTTTAATTTTAAATGACAATGAAAAATCTCACAGAACATAAATTCATGTTCTGCATTTTTCACACACATATTTGACATGGACTATGAGACAGGAATTTTTTTATAAATCAAGATAGATTTTCTATTGTTTTAAAGGTAATATTGTGACTACTTGATCTTATGTGAAGCCTTAGGCAAATGTTCAAGAATGTACAGCCAAAACGCTAGCTTTTATCAACAACAGGAACCAAGCCACTTAGAAATTCTCATTTGTACTCTTAAAATTCTATTGTTTTACTAGATTACATTGAGGCTGACAATAAACCACAATATTGGAAAAATGCTCATTCATTAATGATATCATGGTTATAATGCTCAGGTCTAGTTTTTGTCTCACACACCAAATCATCTTGCATATTAGTAAATATTAATGCAGCTGTGATATAATTAAACAGCCTACTCTTTCAGACTCATACTAATTTCATAAATTTAGGCAAGCTTGTAACAGTTCATTACTAAACTGGAGAAAAATAAAAATAGATTTGGAAAAACAAATTGTTAAGTCTCTTATTCTGAAAATGGCCATTGTAATCAAAGGAATGAACTTCCCGGCAAGTTAATACTTGCAGACATTCTATTCTGCATCTTAAATCACAAAGGCATACTTTTATTTAAACCTGTCAAGGAAATATCTATAATAAATGAGAAAATAACATAGATAAATCTACCATGGGCCAGTAATGAAAGTTAAAATGCAAAACAAAATAAGACTATGTAAAATAGTATATACTCTTAAAAAAAATGTAGACCACAAATCTGCTTGAGGGGCGTTACCTAATACTTTCAGATGTTTTCGTGATGGGGTGGGTTGTCCAGCTCTCACCAAAGGTGCTCAGGCATATGAAACAGTAACAGGTAGTAAAAGAATGGAAGCCAGAGCCACATGATCCTGTGGGTCCCAAACTTTGTGGCACATTGGTATCATCTGGGCATGTTTAAGAACAGATGCCTGGCTCTCACCTTAGATGCTCTGATTTAATTAGTAAGAGGTATGACCTGGGCACTGGGATTTTTAAAAGCTCCCAGGTAACTAATGTGCAGCAAAGTCTGGGAACCACTGCTCTATTCTGTTTCTTTCAAATTTTGAAAACTTAAAACAAAAGTTATTATGGATGCCCTGGGTGCCCCATACCCAGCAACAGTATGCACTTCTGGAGGTCCTCAAACCTTCATGTTCCCTAGGTTGGTGGGCCAGCGTTCTGCTTTAATAATGTCCCACTTACTTAGTGCTTCAGAAAAATTTGACTGAAGGTTCTCTAAATGAAATTTTTATTTCCTAGGCCAAAGCATGTAGGTAAGGTAGCATCCCACTGCAGCTTCTGGGTGTCCCTCTAACAAAGGTTTAATGAGGCTAGAAAGTTCTGACTAAGCCTATTCCCCATTGCTAACAGCAGTCTTCAAAGTGAGGGCAAGTAAAATCTTAGCGAGGTGAATGCCAGAGGCGCTGCAACTGAGAGTAAAACCACCATGGCACTGCTGGGTGACAACCAAGACTTGTCCATTTCTACTGTAGAAGCAGTTTCATGGATCTATTAAAGAAAGGGACCATCAGTCCACAAAATGTATAAACTGTAAATTATCCAGACATAATAAAGTCAATGAATATTAAGACTTACAAAATTTTAAAAGTTAAGCATAGGTGGCCTAACAGAATAGGAAATGCTACTACTTATATTGAATAGCACTAAATAATTTTTCTTAAGTGTTCACATATATTATTCAGTTATATTCTCAAAACGGTGTGTTAGTGAGCCTCTGAAATAGGCAATGTGCCTCCTATTTATAGACAAGGAAAATGAAGTTCAAAAAGAGCTACATGCTATTCAGTGGGGAGCTAAACAGCAAAATCCTTTGACTGCAAATGTTCATTCTAACATACTATAAGTTCTAACTCTTCAATTCATCATAGTCAGTTTGACTTAAATGTCTTCTGGTATCCTTCGATTAGGTTTAACTTATTTGCCTAGATTCCTGGTCATTTCATAGAAAGCAAATAATTTATTTTGGCTGAACAGAGAGCAAGAGCAAATAGAAGACTCTAAGAAAACATAAAAAGGTCATAACTCTCAAGGTTAGTTGTTCTTTAATTGCATTTATTTTTTTTAAAAGATAATGAAAATTATTAATTTAAAATGGTGCTGCAATAGTGAAAATTTAGAATTCTTCAAGAAAAACTAGAAACTGACAAAAGGAATAACATACAGCAACCTAGTCAATTGGATTGCTAATCACATTTATTGGGACAGTGGGGAAAATCTGGAGCCCAAGAAGCAATGATATTACATTTTTTGAAACATGAGATTAAGTGCTAAGTAGAAAAATGAGATCATGTGTTTTTCCACAAGTACAAACCTTTGACTAATTAATTTATGTATGTTACTCAAAAATGTTAAAAATGGCAATATTTTTAACTCCTTATTAAAATAAATCCATAAAAAGAAAAGCTAGAAATTGTGTACAGAGCTAGAAGGAACAGAAATATAATTCTCAGGAAAATTACAGAATACAGATAATTATGTAACTCAAATATTTGTTACATGATCTTGCTCTCCATATTTCTCCAACTTCTTTCCCTATATAACTCTGTGACCCAATCCCGCTCGCTATTCAAACCTTCTTCCTGGTCTTACTGTTCCCTAGACCTGGGATGCTCTTTCCCATATAGCTGCATGGCTCATCTCTTCCTTTCCTTCAGGTGTTTTCTCAAAAATTTCCTTCTCAATGACGCCCTCCCTGATCACCCCATCAGTATCCCCCATATTTCATATGCCCTCTTCCCTACTTTGTTTCTTCTTCTTAGTACCTAATCACTCTCTAACCTACAATTATTTATTTATCTTGTATGCTAGATATAAGCTCCATGCGGGCGGGGATTTGTGTTGGTCACTGTGTATACCTAGTACATGGAAAAGCAGCTTGCATATAGTAGGTGCCCAATAAATATTTGTTTGATGAACGGAACGAATTTCCTATTATGAGGTGAAATTATTACTAGAATAAATAAAGGTAAAAAAAATATGTAGAGGGCCAGCCGAATGGCGCGATGGTTAAGAGCTGGCTTGGGACGCCAGAGGTCTCCAGTTCGGATCCCACATATGAGGGCAAGTGACACTGCCCTCTACAGCTAAGATGCTGAACAACAGCTCAACCTGGAGCTGGGCTGCCGTGAGTTGCTGGCGACGGCATAGGCTGCAGCCCCTGCTGCAGTGGGTTGCCATGGGCTACCGTATGTAGCCAGCAGCCAGCGTGAGCGGCCAGCAGCCGCAGTGAGCGGCCGTCCAGAAGCCGGCGACTGATCTGCCTCGCCCGGGAAGAGCGCAATGATGGTGCCAACTTGGGCCAGTGAAGCAACGTCCTCCACAACTAGACTGAAGAACAAAAGGACAGCAACTTGTCTGCTCCCCTTCCCCCAATTCCCCAGCACTGTTCCTATCCCCCCAATTCCCCAATAAAAAAATCTTTAAAAAAAAATGTAATAGACATGAGAAATGTAGGCTAAGAATGTGTTCCTTAAATTTATAAAAGGAAAAAATAATATACAGTTTATGCTAATAAGAATTTTTGAATGGCAAACAAAAGCAAAGGCTCTCTCTTTTGGAAAAGTGAAGTAGCTAACTCTAAATGTAGGCTTACTAAAATGCTTAGTAACGTCAAAAAGATTTTTTTAAATCTATACTTCTTTTATTATGTTATACATAGGGTAACACAC